TTACTGATTACTTTTTTCAAGTAACTTGACCAACACTGCTCATCAGACTAGGTAACATTTTTACAAACTTTAATCATCTAGTTTTGATGAGCTTGTGTTAATTATATCCTCATTTTCTTGTTCTTAACTGACTAAAGCCCGACAAACCTGCTTTTTAAAACTTTGTTTGTAGGGCACAGACAATCACAAGATGCTTGGTATAAATGGAGGGTAGCCTTAAAGGGTAAATGCTGTTTATGAACTGAGGGGTTGCACTGAGGCCCAGTATAAGATAAATATTTTTGAACTGTGAATCAAACCAATCAAGTAGGACCCAAGAGCAGAATAGCTGGAGATTAGTGTAATCTGAGCTGTGTCGAGATTGGAAACTATGACGACAACCGAGAGCTGTTTTGTTCAGAGTTCAGATGTATGCCATGGGAATAGATATCACTGTATATGCTGTATATGAATACCAGCAGAGTAAATATCTGCCTTTAAAACCACCTTCATTTTCTAATAAATGTATACTAAAAAAGGTGAATAAACACATAGCATTATGATTTAAAAATGTCAGGTTTCACTTCCCAAACAGCAGCATTTTGTAAAGGCTTTTACCCTGAATAAACATATTTCCTTTTCTTTTGTGTGGTGGTATTTCGCTCGCACAAGACTCAAAGGATACAAAAAAAAGTCAGTGGCTGAAAACCCATCTCTCTCTCTGCTGGGTTCATTCTCACACTTGTGTTTTTTTTTTCTCCATTGCCATAATAACACATGAAAATATCTTTAGGTGCTTCTTCAAAATATTTTTAAACTGACAGCACACTTAAAGTTAACACCCGAGGAAAGCATTTCGGTTGCGGTGTAGGTGAAACATTCGTCTTTCTCTCCCACCTTTCCGAGCGCGCCTGTCTCACACATGTTCTCTTTATTTAGCCGGGTTTTGCATTCCATTAGCGCTACCAGGATTTTGTTTGCCTCCGGCTCTGAAAACGACCTTTGCTTTTTCAAAAATCCTCCAACCATTTCTCGCCTTTCTCTCCATTTACATTCATGCCACACAGGAGCAGAAATTTAGAAGAAAATGATTCCAATTAATCGTGCTTCATCGATGTTGGGATTCAGCTGATGTGACTCTTTTTGCCTCTGTTTTTCCCTCCTCAGTTTGCTCCGGCTGGGGACTTGATCTTTGAGGTGTACCTGGAGAAGAGAGAGCCAGAGAAATGCTGCTTAATCAAGGTGAGAGTGTGTATATCCGTACTGCTCCTGGTGTGTATTTGTGTGTGTATGTGCACCTGCTTTCCCAAAGGTCCTGGTAGTGAGGTGAAAAAATGGGGAAGGGGATGGAGGCGGGTGAAGCTGGAGAAAGGATGAGGGTGGAAAGACTGAGAGGCGAGGGTGGATGATGGAATTGGGCCGAGACGTCCGTGGTTTAACCTGATGGGAGTACCGCACATACGAACTAATCAAGAGACATTTGACTTAATTGTCTGAGTAATTGCATTTTATGAGGCATATAGGTCTGTGCAAGTTAGGGAGGATTTTTTTTTATTGTTTTTGTGTTTGTTAACAGGGTGACAGCAGAGCTCCAAGGGCGCACAGGGTTACAGAGCAGCACTAAGCAGCGCAGTTTAACATTAATTCTTCATTTGTCTCTGTGGAGGAAAGTGGCGCATTTCCTTAGTTCAGTGCCGTTCATAAAGAGTCAACTATGCAAACTGTGCGCTGTGTACATAACTGAGTCGGATATTTGTGTAATAAATGGTGCACGTTAGGAATGAAAGGCTCTTTCAAGACAAAGATGGTTGAAGGCATCGAGACTGATCCACAGAGCTTATGATCTAACCCAGGGGTGGGCAACTCCAGGCCTCGAGGGCCGGTGTCCCTTCAGGTTTTAGGTTTTTTGAACCTAACACAGCTGGTTTAAATGGCTAAATTACCTCCTCAACATGTCCTGCAGTTCTCCAGAGGCCTGGTAACGAACTAATCATTTGATTCAGGTGTGTTGACCCAAGGTGAGATCTAAAACCTGCAGGACACCGGCCCTCGAGGCCTGGAATTGCCCACCCCTGATCTAACCTTTTATATGCACAGTTTGCTTACTTTGTGTGATCGTTTCCCTTTATGCATTTATGGTAGGTCTCCCCCAGCATGCGGCCCACTGAGCTTGCAGAAACGGCGCTGAATATGAGGAATGTCGCCGTTAACGCCGACGACTTTTGGACCACCTTTGAAGTCATTGAAAATGGAGAGCTAGGTATGTCAGGTTACTAACCACTAAACTACCGTCTTAGAAATGTTTGAGTATTTTCACAATTGAATATACCAATGGACTTTATCTTAGGCATTGCAATGTGATAATATGATAGGAAAGTCTGGTTAAAAATTTCAATTTATTTCAGTTGTATTTACAGGACGCCTCAAGGTGCTTTATATTGTAAGTTAGAGACCCTAAAATAATACAGAAAAAACCTCAACAGTCACACGACCCCCTAAGAGCAAGCACTTGGCGACAGTAGGAAGGAAAAACTCCATATAAGACAGAATAAGTCTACTGTTAGTTTGGGACTAAAGGGGGTCAAGTTGGCAATTTGCTGTTTCCCTGTTGTACAGAGACACATCCCAGACAAGTTGCTCTTATTTGGAGACTGTTTTGAGACTGGTTGCCTCCTACCTGCGCAATGTCGTTGTGATTGATAGTAGCAGCTACTTGTAATGTATGTGAAATGTGAAACATTTCAAACCAACAGCCTTTCCTAGTGAGAAGGAGATTTTTTGTTATTCTTCACTTTAATGTGTCGAAGACATACGTTTATTTTTCCTGTGAAGTAAGCATAGAAAGCAAGCTTTTTTGTCCTTAACTTACTTGGAGGTATTTTTATTTGCTGCCTTATTTACAAGTCGCTTTTAGTTTTTATTTTATTTTTTAGTCTTGATTGGTTTGCCAGTATATATTTGCCATCAGCATATATACTGAGGTTTGCTGTGATTTGTAAATGGTGCAGTCACATAGTTTGTCACTATGTGCGGAGCCCAAGAATAAAAGCATTCAGCTGGAAATGAGTATAATATGTCTCTAACTATTAAACCTCACTCCACTGTAACTTGTCTGTTACTTTAATCAGCTTTTAAATATAACATATAGCTCTTTCCCTCAGATTACCCAAGCTTGTGCAACAACACTTCACTAATTGCGACTTCTTAGAATCCATCTGAAGGAAATAACCTAATACTGAAGAAGCACCTCTTTAGCAATAAGTACTTTTTGTTGGGATGAAAAGGTCATTTATTCTTTAACTGAAGTGCTACATTCACAAAGACAGAAGTTTTTATGCGCACTGATCTTTGTGAAGACTTTTGCCTTTGACATTAACGTCGGTTAATGTCACGAGGTAATTTACACATGCTATGGATGTTATTATCATATGCAATTTCCCATCTTTTTCTTTTAACCCAGCTTCTGCTTTCATTCCTCAGTGCTATCATTTGGCTTTGACTCCAGACTGCTAAAACTAAAACACCTGCTGCATTACAACTAAAGGACACTTTTTCTCTGTGACCTCCAAATTTTTTGAGTAAAATGTGAACTTATGTTATAAATGAAACGAAAGTTTCCCTCTAAACTTTTCTGCCGTCACGTTCTCCGTCGGTCCAATTAACATTGCATCACCTTTCAAGTGGCCATTTCCATTTAGGGGCACATACAAAGATCACACTTCCTCTTATCCGAGGACCTTGTGAGAGATTATGCTATCTCTAATGAACCAGCGCCTGTGAACGCGGCAGCACGCAGGGAAATTAGCCAAGCATCGTCAGTTTGATATGCACATAAATGAATCATCCTTACCGTTGTGCGTCATAAATTGCCTTCATCTTTCCTGCATGATCAACCTAGAAAGATGACCCACCTCATCCTGCATTAATATGCACTGAGGCCGCCTCACGCACTACACGTGCTGCATTTGATCATAACGCGGTATACGTCAAGAACGGGGCGGGGGCCTACAGACGAAGTTGAGCTTTGTCGCGAAGTTGCTTAGCTTGCGCTCCCCCGTGCACGTCACGGAGCAGTTCACTGAAAGTTTACACCTCACTCTTGTGTTTGTTTTCTTCCTCACAAAGTTACAGAGGACGAGTCGTCCTCTTCTAAAAATGAAGGTGTGTTGAATACTGAATATATTTGCTGAAGGTTCAGCATATTTTCTATGCCAAAACAATATGTCTGTGGAACAGTAAATAGTTAAGCGATTTCGAAGGCGGTAGCGTGACGGGTTTTGCTCGTAAAAGCATAAAGGAGGGAGGGGAAGTGCGTTAATTAGCCATTTTGGAATATAGCTACCGATAAACACTGTTATCGAGGACAATAAGCAGAAAAGGGGAGCTAATATTTGTGGGGAAATGAGGAACTAATTCCATGGCCTGGGCCTGCAGAGATTCCAGGGAGAAGATAAGCCCACTGTTATGAATAGGTTATGCCATTGTGGCTCTTTTTTTCCCCTTCCTCCCTTTTTTTTAATTTTTTTAATTTTTTTTTAAAACCTCCTTTGGTTATGAAAAACAGGGGAGTGTAGAGATGGAAGCATCGAGCAGGGGTGGTGGTACACAAATTATCTTCCTTTTTTTGGCTGATAGCATGTACCCTGTTCGCCAATTAAGAAGAGATAATAGGTCTATTTTGCACATGAGTGTGTTTTTATAATCAGGCCCTGATATGCTGTAGATAATTTAATCTGTTCTGTGATGAAACTGGGGGGGGGGAACAACATAATTTTGTTATTTGGCTAACTGGAGTTTGTCATGGATTTTATGATGTGGTTTTGTTTTGTGTGTTTATAATTCGTGTGAGATGAGAGAACACAAAAGACCAGGTTGTTGTCAGGTGACTTTTATGACCGCTTTGTCTTCACATCCCTGCCATCTTTTGCCATACTTTAGCTTTAATCATTTCTCTGTTTCTGAGCTAAATTATTATTAATTAATTCATGTATTTTTTTAACAGAGCGACCGTTGCACCACAGCGAGAAGATTCTTGAGCAGGTGTTGGAGTGGAGCTCCTTGGACTACCCCAGCTCGGCTTGTCTTGTTATAAAGAAGTTTGTTGGTTTCAAACTTCTTGGGGAAGGTAGAGTATGCTGTAGATGTTACAAAAGAAGAAGCAGCTGTTCCATATCTTGTTATCCAGCATTACTATTTCTCAGATCATCATTATTCCTCAACAGCTCATTTGTTCATTTATTGATGACTGTTTTTTATATTATAATAGTTTAGTTTAAACTCATAATA